CCCTGACTCCTGGTGTGCAGTTTTATATCCCTTATTCCAGTTGTCTTCAGTGTAACTACACAGTTGTCACTTCCCACTGCTCTGGCCCTAAGTTGGTCCCAGTACTGGCAGGGCAGGGACTGCACTGTCTGGCCAGAGGGACCACTGGAGGTCACCCACAGAGTCAAGAGAGAAGCAATTTTATCCAGCCAAGGAGCACCCAGAGGCAGCTCCTGACTCCTGGTCCCCAGGACAGCATTGCCCTTGGTGCTTCAGCAGCAATCCCAGGAGTCTGTTCAGAGTATTTCACATCTGCTTTGTCCTGAGGGTGAATGCTGTGCCATGGGCACCCGTGAGTCTGAGTCACTTGTTGGCAAGTGTTTCTAGGTCTAAACTTCAGCACTTTGCTCCACAAATAAGGTCCCTGCCTTAGTCACAGTGCTCTTTGGTCTTGAAGTATTTGGGGCTCTCTCTCTCTCTCATACATCACACAAGGACCTGCATCCCAACCCAGGACTGTGCCTTCCCAGCCTACCTGAAGGCTCCAGATGTTGTGTAAAAGTAAAACAGACATCCCTAAAGCTCCTATCAGCTCCTGTGCCTTCTGCCCTGCACATGTGAAGTTATCTAACACCTGAGTTCTCTAATTTCCTAAAATTTGCTTCTGGGTGTGCCTGCAGCTGTGTGAACCATGAAATGCTGAGCAAAGGGGATTTGTGTTTCAGCCTGGTTGGGCTGCCCAGCATGACAACCTCATGCTCCATGCCCCATTCCAATGCCCCAGAAACCTTCCCAGAGTGGCTGGGGGGGCAAGCACTCCCCCCATCACCCCTTCACAGCTCAGCCAGGCAGGGGCACAGATTTTACCACACTGCTCAAAATCCACTGTTGGCTCCTTCCTTTGCCCAAGAAAACAGGAATCCTCCTCTCTGGTGAATGCTTTGGTGGTCTAAGGGTAATTGAGAATCTGAGCTTTCCGAAAACTGTCTTTGCAGCTGAAGATTCCCTTCATGTGGCAAAATGCAAAGGTGATTTTTTGTAAATCCCTGTCACCTCTCCCTCACCCTGGTGCCTTTACAAGGTTCCTGTGCAGATTCCAGACACAGTGGAAGGGCCAACCTGTGTCCCCATGGAAAAATGAAGGCACCTGTGAGGGTCCTTTGAGCATTTCTTGCCCTCAGGGTTAATTGCAAAGCTGGGAGAGCAGAGCAGATGTAAAAGCTGGACTGCAGGGAGAGCAGCTGCTGCTCATAGTGGCTGACCCACTGCCTGTGCAGGGAGACATGCTGTGGGAAATACTAACCAAGCTCTTGGTATAGGATAACCCTTCTTCCTGCTCTTCTGTTGGCCTTGGCATGAGCAGTCCAGGGCCTGCCCACATCACCTTGCCATGCCTCAGTTTCTCCAGATCCTGCTCTCTTTTCCTTTTTTTTCCAGTGTCTAACATATGGTTCTTTAGGACTAACCCACTTTTCCCAAATCACCCTTTTCACAATTGTTCAGGTTCTCACGTCCCTCTGAGATCCCTGTGTCCCTGACCCAGACCCCCCTGGGCATCCAGGGGCAGCCCTTGGAGGCCTGGGAGCTGATTGAGCTCTCCTGGCACAGCCACAGCTGGGGGACCTGGGCCTGAGCCACTGGACATGGATGGGACACGGACAGCACACAGCCAGGACATGGGTGGCTGCAGTGGGAAACTGGCAGGTGATGGGAAGGAGACACAGACAAAGTGATGCTGGGGCCACCCCCAGAGAGGAGCAGCAGCAGCAAATGTCAGCAATGGGACAGAAGACTTGGGGACCCCAGCAAACCAGGCCCCTCATGGCACTGCTTCCTTCATACTCCCAAGCAACCACAATTGCTGGATTAATGATGTTAGAGAGTATATCCCAGCTCCTTGTTGTCCATCTCCTTGTTGGGGCTATCAGCACTGTCTGCCCCTAGGGCCCATGGCAGCAGTGGGGTTTGCTGCCCATGGGTCAAAAGTGACCTTCCTTTCATGTTGCAAGTTCATCTCCTACCCATTGCACAGATTGTCTCTGCACTCAAAACCTGACAAAGTTTGGCAAATAAGGGCCCTGTTGCAGGCAGGGCTGGGCTGGGGCTGAGGAATCTTTCATCAAAACCTGCAGCACCTGGGCTGGGGCTGCCCAGCTGAGCTGGGGAGGCTTTAAAGGGGCTGCAGGAGGGGAGGAGGTGAGTTCCTGGCTGCAGATGTGGTGGGCAGGTAGGAGTGGTGCTGGTGCTGGCTGTGATTTCTGTCCCCTGGGTGCTGCAGCTGCATAGTGGTGAGATGTGTGCTGCAGCCTGTGCTCGTGGCAAAGGGTGCTGGGTTTTGTCTCTGCTCTCCAGCTCAGTGTGTTTGCCGGTGCTGGCTGGTGGCTGAGGTTAGGAAGTGTTTGTGTTTGTGCCTTGGCAGCTCTGCCCTGTGCTGTCAGCAGGCTGTCTTGGCATGGCTCACCCTTTTGCCTGTGTGACTGGGGGGGGAGCAGGGCATGGGGAGTGTCTGTGCACAGAGATGAGCCTTGCAGAGGCCAAGGGAGTCAAGGCCCCACTCTTGTCAGCCCCTGTGCAATAACAAGCAGTTTCTCAGGACTTGTCACTATGCTGAGAGTGGCTGAGGGGCCCGAGGAGAGCTGGACTAGTGGCTGTGGTGCAGGGGCTAGCTCACCTTACAGGAGCTGTGGAGTTGGCAAATGCAGTTACTGAGATGTGCATTGCTGTGATGGGGATGGCATGAGCCATAGCATGGAGTGCAACCTAATCTCAGTTCAAATGCATATGTGATGAAAGTCCTGGTGCCTGCAGAGAACTGCACCTCTACACTGGTCTTCTATGGCTTTAGTCTACATATAGTGACAGAAAACAGGAAACATTCTGTATTTGAAAACTATAGTGTGTTTTAATGCTAGGTGCTTTCACTCCTGTGAGGCAAACATCAATTCACCTGTCTGTAGGGAGGGTTGTGATGGCATGTGCTCTCTCCCATGTTACAATTCAATATGTACCTGCAGTGTGTCAATGTAACATGATTAGGATTAGTTCTGTAATTTTATTTCTGCACTCCTATTTACTAGAAAGC